CCAAGGCTTCAAATTTGTTGTCTGGAGATTGATGGTTGGGACACAGCTACTGAAGAAGTGGATTGGCGTCCCCTCAGGGGACTGTGTTTGTGGGCCTGTGACTCAAATCACCATTGTTGTTGCGAATACATGGTCTGGCAGTAGCGTTGGGGTACATAATTTCTCTGTGTTTTCCTGGGTTTGGGTGTATAGATTCCCAAGGATCGGAGTGTCGCCTGTGACTCCTTGAATGAGTGGAGAGAGTCATCTGTCTTCTCGTCAAAGAGTTTGGGACCCTCAAATGGCAAATCCTCAACCGTGGATTGCATCTCCTTAGGAAAGCCGAAGAGGTGGAGCCATGAGGCCCTGCTCATCACGACAGCCGTCACCACTGAACTTGCAGCTGTGTCCGCAGAATCAAGTGCGGCTTGCAGGGCTGTTTTGGAGATGAGTTGTCCCTCTGACACAAGTGCTGTGAATTGTTCTCTCTTGTCCTCAGAAATAAAATCAGTCAATTCAGACATTTTTGTGTAGTTACTATAGTCATATTTTGCCAGTAATGCCTCGCAGTTGGCTATACGGAGGTGTAGTGTAGCCGAGGAATAAGCCTTGTGACCAAAAAGATAAGTCTTTTCCACTCTTTGTCGTGAGGTGTGGTTTGGGGCTGTTGTTGCCTACCATGTTCCTGGACTGCGTCCACCATTAGGGAATTGGGCGCTGGATGTGAAAAGAGGGGGGGAGGGATAGCTCAGTGGTTTGAGCATTGGCCTGCTAAACCCTGGGTTGTGAGTTCAATCCTTGTGGGGGCCACTTAGGGCTCTGGGGCAAAATCAGTACTTGGTCCTGCTAGTGAAGGCAGGGGGCTGGACTCGATGACCTTTCAAGGTCCCTTCCAGTTCTAGGAGATAGGATACTTCCATATTTTAAAAAAAAAAAAAAAAACAACTCTGTGCCTTTGGCTGGTACATAATATTTTTTGTCAGACCTCTTGCAGGTTGGAGGAGCAGTGGCAGGGTTCTGCCAAATGGTTTTGACAGGGTCCATCAGTGCATCATTCACAGCGATTTTGGATGAAGCAGATGTATGCAAAATGTCCACTAGTTTGTGTTGTGTCACTTGGACCTCCTCAAGGGAGATGTCCAGGGAGCTAGCCACCCTTTTAAATAGATTCTGGAATAGTCTGAAATCATCCCCTATATTATGGGGAGGAGGCATAACAGTGTCATCTGTGGATAGTGATGGGAAATGGGTAGGTGGTGCCCCTTCCATGACCAGGGGTTCTTCCTCATCTTCCCCCAGTTCCCCTGCCACCATCAAAGGTCCAGGCACAAGTGACTGCTGTGTGCCAGGTCTGGATGTGGCAGGCAGTCCCTGTTGTGTGGGGTATGCCCATTGGGGTGGGGGAGGTATGGGGGGGCCCCCAGGGCTGGCCATACCATTGAAAATACTTGGAATCAGTGTAATATGTCCCCTGAGGGGGTCCTGAGTTAGTCGGTTCATGGTAGAGATTGTGGAGGGAGATCTCCTTGTCCTTCCTCACTCTCATCCTCCTCACTCGAATAGGGAGGAGTGGATTGTATTGGAGACGCGAGGAGACTCGGTGCAGAGAGTGACATGTTCACATTGGTGCCGATGATAGGGGAGTCAGGGGCAGAACCGACTAAGAGACCCTTTTGTCTGAGAAACTGCTGTGATGTCTGTTTGATTGGCCCTTGAGGCTGTATCACTGTCAATGCTTGGAGCTGCTGTGTATAAGCTGGTACTGAAGGCTGCGCCGCCGTGTGCACCAAGCGTGTCTTTGAAGGAGCCGCCGTCTGTCCCGGTGCCGTGCCGTTGCATGTGGATCGCAGCTTTGGTATTGGCGGTGCCGAGGCATTGGGTTCAGATTTCCCCTTGGTGCCTCTGTCGGAGCCAGCTCTTTTAGAGTCTCTGGCTCCAGAGGTACCGGCGATGCCGGGTGGTCCCGCTGGGTCACCTGCCGGTGCTGAGTGTCCTCTCGTGGAACGGCACTTCTTGGCTGATTCCTGCCTTGGGGACATAGGTGCCTGCCTTTTTGACAGTTTGCTCAGATGCATGGATTGAGGAGGGACCCCTGTCAGAAGCCGTGGTTGGCGAAGTTTCACCAGGAGGGCTCTGGGCTCAGATGCAGGTCTGAGAGACTTTGCCATAAGGAGGAGCTTTAACAGCAAATCTCTAGCTCTTCTTGTCCCGGCAGTGAGCTTGAGGCAGTGCTGAGACTTCTGAGTTGTGTGTCTTTCACCTACGCAGAGAACACACTGACCGTGGCCCTCTGAGACAGGTATAGCAAGCTTCCAGTTGAGACATCCTTTAAAGCCTGGGAAACCAGGCATTCCTGTCAGGGGGGGCTTTCACCCTCAGAGCAGCTGTGTATGCGGAGGTTCAACTGAAATTTCTCCCCAGCTGGTAGTTCAAAAGGAAAGGAAAAGGAAAAAGGGTTTGGTTTGGTTTGGTTTGGTTTGGTTTGAAGTTATGGTGACAGGGATAAAAGAAAAAGGAAAACAATGTAAATAGATGCTAACAAGGAAACTAAGTAACTAACTGTTAAACTAATTAACTACTAAGTAGTGAAGCACTGCTGATTGCTCCAACTCTAGTGGGGGGGTCGTTAGCATAGCATCAGTTAACTGCCTGAAGCAGCACGAGACAGGGACCACGCATGTACGACCCAACCGGGCACTGCCACCAAAAGTCTCTGAGTATGAGCACAGGGGCGCCCCAACACCTAAAATGGAGCACCCACAGGGACAGCACTCAAAGAAGAACAATTCCAATTAAATCCTCAAAAACCGCAAACACCTGGCAATGCATGTCCTGACTTGCAGCATGAGCTGTCTCTGGAACATTAGCCTGCGCATATGCACGGAATTTCTTTACAATAAAAAGAAAATTGATCAAAGGTTCAAAGTAATTCTTCAGTTATACTGTATGTTAATACCCACAGGTAAATTCAAGGGCTGAATTTTTTAATTGAGGCATTGTTTTTATTATCCTGCACTAACAATAATACAAATAACAGTGTTACAGATCAAGCTGGTGGCCAAATCTCTTTCACACTGCAGGTACCTTGCTGAGGAAAAGATGTGGGAAACCTTTGGAAATATGAACATACATTGGGGCGGCGCATTTAAAGTCCCACCCAGGGTTCAGAGATAGATCCACATGGGAAGTTCCATTAGAACAGACAGACTCCTTCAAACTGCTGGAGTCTTTCAAGGTCACTCATTGCCCTGGCGGATCCAGCTACCCCTATCTGCTCTACCCTCACAATCTCTTTTTGCAGAACCACTAGTACATACCCTACAGCAGTGGTCCCCAACCTTTTTCGTCTGGTGGGTGCCAGACGATGAGCATCCGCCGAAATGCCGCCAATAAGCGGCAATGTCAATAGGCGTCACCGCCAAAATGCCGCCAACAAGCAGCGTCATCCAGAGGCGTCGCCGCCGAAATGCCGCTGACGCCTCTGGATGACACTGCTTGTCGGCGGCATTTCGGCGGATGCTCGTCTGCCGGCCAGTATGCAGGCGCACTTATACGCCCCGGCGGGTGCCATGGCGCCCGCAGGCACCGCGTTGGGAACCCCTGCCCTACAGTCATTAATACAGCAGGTGCAGCTAGACAGATCTGGCAGTGTATGAATAAAAATCCTGGAGAAGCTAAAAACTCACCAACAGGAGATGACGATAATAATGATGCTTTGTAGTTATACTGTACCGTGTTTTATACCTTCACTATGATTTATAAACCTTGATAATTAAACAGGCACTATCAACTCCAAAAGCACATTTTTGGCTTCACATTTTTTTCTTACTGTTGTTACAAGTAACATCTAAGGTTAAAGGACACAAATCTCTGTTTTTTTCAGTTTGCTCGCTCTGTGCTTTGACAGCACTTTATGCATGGACAACTTCACCATTTCTCCTGTACAGTCATTTTCCTGTGTGTGTGGGTCTTTCACGGGTTTGGGAGAGCAATTCCTTCAACTCCCTTTGTAAATTGACAGGGGACGTATGGCCTAGTGGATGTCCAGGCTTACGAGGAAGAAAAACCTCAGGTCTAACCCTGGGTGAACCATCAACCTGTTGTATGGTTTTAAACAAATCTCTTCATTCCTCTGTGCCTCAGTTTGCCCACCAATACAATGGGAATTAATTACCATTACATGCTCCAAGGGAGGGTTTGTGAGGATAATTCATTTATGTTTAGCAGCATTTTGGAGATGTGAAGATGAATATGCAACACAGTATCACTACAAGATGGAATGGAATTCGCAGCTTAGGTTAGCAAGTAACATTCAGTCCCAGAAAACAGGGAAATATGCAATATTCAGTGGTGCTCATGGAGTGAGGGACCTACACCGGATGCAAATTATAGGGGACACCTGAGGATTTCTGCCAGGAGTCATTACTTGTTAATGTCACAATGCAAGGAAACCTAACACATCTCACAGTAATAAGCAATGCAAAATGTTAACGAGAATGGATTTCAAGTGACATTTAGGAGTGAAGCAGATCCCTTAGAAGGATGTAAACTGTATTACTTCTCCCGTAAGGTTGCAAGAGCCCTTTAAATTCCCTTCAGCAGCAGCCACCCCTATTTCACGGGAGAGTTACATGTGCCTCCTTCTTCTCATGGTTTATCTCTTTTAAGCTGATGGTCTTGTAACTCACAAAGTCAGAATCCCCAAATGAGTAACGTGTGGCCTCTTATGTGAGCCCGATGGAGCTAGTACTCAAAACTGACCATCACATGTTTATGCAGAACCATTCTGAAGCCAAGATTTATGTCATATTATGGAAGAAACAGCCGATTAGTCACCAGCATCTAATTTTTCAACAACACAAAGTGAAAATTTCCATAATTTATGTGCTTTGTTTTTAAACAACATCAATTAAGCTCCAAATGACAGCAGACATTCCTTGCTGGACATGTGGGAAAACAGATTAGCTTTATCTGTTGTTCACAGGAAAGGTGATTAAATGATTTAGTGTAATATCACATACCTGGATCTAGGTTATATTGTTCTAGGAGCCTGAAGACCAGTTTGCTTAACATTTTATGGTTGAGTTTGTTAGGTCGTAAACCTTGATACTGCCTGTAAACAAAACAAGCAAAGCAAGGAAGAAACATCAATGCAAGCAGATAAGATACTTCTCCCTTTTAATAGCAGGGATGTTGTCTGATGCTGGGTGACAACTTCTTTTCCCTCCTCATCCATCACAGCTGAGCCTATACCATTCTTTCCTCCAACTGGGTCCAAATTAGCTGTTACCACTCAAGAAAGAGATCTTGAAGTCATCCTGGATAGTTCCCTGAAAACATCCACTCAATGTGCAGCAGCAGTCAAAAAAGCTAACAGAATGTTAGGAACCATTAGGAAAGGGACAGATAACAAGACAAAAAATATCATACTGTCATTATATAAATCCATGGTCCACCCACACCTTGAATACTGTGAGCAGTTCTGGTCACCCCTTCTCAAAAAAGTTCTATTAGGAATGGAAAAGGCACAGGGAAGGGCAACAAAAATTACTAGGGATATGGAACAACTTCCGTATGAGAGATTAAAAAAGACTGGGGACTCTTACATTTGGAAAAGAAACAACTAAGTAGGGATAGAATAGAGGTCTATAAGATCCTGAATGGTGTAGAGAAAGTGAATAAGAAAGTGTTATTTACTCCTTCACATAACACAAGAACCAGCGGTCACCCAATGAAATTAATAGGCAGCAGGTTTAAAACAAACAAAAGGAAGTACTTCACACACGCACAGTCACCCTGTGGAACTCATTGCCATGGGATGTTGTGAAGGCCAAAAGTATAATTAAGTTCTAAAAAGAAGTAGACAAGTTCATGGAGGATAGGTCCATCAGTGGCTTTTAGCCAAGATGGTCATGGATGCAACCCCGTGCCCCGGGCATCCTAAGCCTCTGACTGCCAGATGCTGGGAGTGGATGACAGGAGATGGATCCCTCAATAATTGCCCTGTTCTATTCATTCCCTCTGAAGCACCTGGTATCAGCCACCGTTAGAAGACAGGATACTGGCCTAGATGGACCACTGGTCAGACCCATCTGGTCATTCTTATGTTCTGGAAAGTCTGAGCCAATAAAGCCACCATCTGGTCCAATTAAACCTTCAATAAACTGCTTCTGAGACAGCAGCAAGGTGGAGAGCTTACTTTAAGGTAAATGTTGCTCTTTCCATCAATTAGCTGATACTCGCGTCTTCATCAGTCTCCAATTCTCCATTCAAGGGCTTTAAGAGTTCATGTCAGTACCTGATTTCCAGCAACCTGGTATGTAAGACCCACTCTGCTTTTATTAGCATTGTATCTGCTGCATGTATGCTGTTGTTTTGATTGCACTGCTGGTGCTTACTTTGGTGAGAGGTGGTTTATATATTAAAAAACAACCCTGATAATTTCACTGGAAAAGGAATGATGAGTATATATATTTCTTGTTTTTTGCCACTGTATCATGGGAATACTAGACACACACGCATGGAGTGAGTGCAAAGGCTTTTTACTTTGACTAGGACTATCTGCAGATGGCTCCCTCACAACTGCACCATTTCCTGGTTTAGCACTGCTATCTGAAGCTGACGGAAAGGGAATTTTCAGTTGAAAATTCAACTGAAATCAGGGTTACCAACTGATGATCCTTATTCCCCTCCCCACATCTCACTGCCAGATATGCACAATGGATATTGCGACTCAGCCTTCCACAGCAAAGCACCAGAGTCAGGCTGTTGAGGTCTTCTGGATAAGATCTACTGCAAAGTTTTCATGTTTAGCCTCACCGCGCAAAGTGCTCAGCCCCTGCCACTTCCATGACATCAATGGGAGTGATAGGTGCTCAGTGCCTCATAGGATAAGGCCTTTGGAAAGACCACATTTCACAATTACCAGAATTTTTCCCTTCTCTGATGGGAAGTGACTGTACAACATTTAGCAATTTACTCCGTGGCTTTCAACATGTTATTAGTGAATGTAGAAAGAGGACTAGGAAACATATTGTCCTTACCTGACAGTTATTTAGCACCTGCTCATAATGTCATATAATATTGTATGCTGTTTGGATATAAGAAGGACAAAACACTGGAAAATAGAATAATCTTCTACCTTGAGATGTCTGTAGTATTAAAACTAGGTTCACACCACATATCCAGGGTCTGCAAGAGTTTGCGCTGGAGATCAGGATATTCTGCCACATAAGCCTCTACTAGGTTAGTTTTCTCTTGAAGTAGCAATGGAGTGCACATCTAGAAAGAAAAATAGTTTTGCACTTGTAAAGCATTACAGAGACATTGTGCTCTATACCTGGTGCAGACTGCTTCCCATTGCATTGGCTCAGCAGCATTGGCTGCAGCACTGGAGAGGCAGAGCCAAGTCTCCAGTCACTCCCAGCCTACAGACACAGGCACAGGAGCACGAGCCGGCCCATTTTGCTGCTGCTCAGAATGTGGATAGTGAGCCTTATACCCCTGCATGGGTGCTCGGGATGGGCCACACTCTAGCTCTAAGTCTTCTATACTGAGGTCTGTAAGTGCTTGAGGAAAGTGTTCCAAATTGCTTAAATGTTAGAAAAATATTTCTACATCCAAATATGCCTAAAGGGAGTTTTCTACACAGAATTTTCAACACAAATATTACCAATAACATTACAAACCTTCAGCATTAGAATTTATTTAACCCAGGCCACCTCTTATCACCACATAGGTAGAAAATACCTAGTTATCTTCCTACACCCATTATTCTGAATGGGGAGAGCAGGGGAGGAGATGGGATTATTTTTGCATTTAATAAGCCTTATTACAGAAACAATAATTTGCAAAACAGAATCAACACAGCTAGAGTTTCAGATTCCAGTTAGAAAAATATTCTATTAAGATGGAATGTGGTATAAAAAAATCTTTCAGTCACTTCAGACTGAAACATCATTTTTAGCAGCTCCCTAGCGACTTCTTGCAAATTAGATATTAGCGTATAGTATATAACTTCCACTTTTGTGCAAGACTGTGCGTCTTGTTTATCAAAGGATACATCTGATGATAGAGAAGACTACAGGGGAAACAGACTTACCTTCTCCACATCTAGATCCAGCTGCAATTTTAGCTTTATACTCAGAATGGCTGCCTAGAAAACACAAAAGGTAGAAAATATTTCTGGTTGTAGAGGAGAATGTGTGTTTGGGAGAGCTTATAAACGGATGTGTTTCTAAACTGAAGTATAGACGGTTGCTACACATTAGTCGCAGAATGATTCTATTTATTGTTATATTTTGAATGTGCTAATTAAATGCAATTGGCTGCACAGATTTCATTTAGAAATCCACAAAAACACTATCAGTCGCATTACATGTTTTTAACTGTATTAAACCTCAGAAAAAAAAATCTGAGATCAAGCACTCTATTAAAAAATTTAGAGCAAAAAACCAGAGTCTCTAGTCAAGTGTTTGGAAAGACTCAACTGATAGGTAATTTTCTCCAGGAATATAAATTTAAAAACAGAACAAAAAAGGATATTTCTGAGTTAACTTGAACACAATTCTTGCTGCTTTTAAATTTGCTATGCAGTTATATTTTGTGAAAACATCTCATTCATAAATGTGAATACAACTAAAAATCAGATTTTTAGGTTCAATCACTTAAATGTAGCTCCACATATCCTAGATGCTATGAATCACAAATAAAAGGATGATAATAATTATATTGTGCCCTTTTATGCTCTGTTCTGAATGTTGATGAACTAAGTCTTGTAATCCCCATGTGAAGTTCCTCAGAATCAGTATCCTAATTCTGCAGATGGGAAAGTGAGCCACAGAGTGGCAAAATGATTTGAGGAAGGTCAAGTTAAAGAAGTATGGGCTAGATGAACGGACTGTAAGGTGGATAGAAAGCTGGCTAGATCGTCGGGCTCAACGGGTAGTGATCAATGGCTCCATGTCTAGTTGGCAGCCGGTTTCAAGCGGAGTGCCCCAAGGGTCAGTCCTGGGGCCGGTTTTGTTTAATATCTTTATTAATGATCTGGAGGATGGCGTGGACTGCACTCTCAGCAAGTTTGCAGATGACACTAAACTGGGAGGCGTGGTAGATACACTAGAGGGTAGAGATCGGATACAGAGGGACCTAGACAAATTAGAAGATTGGGCCAAAAAAAACCTGATGAGGTTCAACAAGGACAAGTGCAGAGTCCTGCACTTAGGACGGAAGAATCCCATGCACTGCTACAGACTAGGGACCGAATGGCTGGGTAGCAGTTCTGCAGAAAAGGACCTAGGGATCACAGTGGACGAGAAGCTGGATATGAGTCAACAGTGTGCTCTTGTTGCCAAGAAGGCTAACGGCATTTTGGGCTGTATAAGGGGGGGCATTGCCAGCAGATCGAGGAACGTGATCGTTCCCCTTTATTCAACATTGGTGAGGCCTCATCTGGAGTACTGTGTCCAGTTTTGGGCCCCACACTACAAGAAGGATGTGGAAAAATTGGAAAGAGTCCAGCGGAGGGCAACAAAAATGATTAGGGGGCTGGAGCACATGACTTATGAGGAGAGGCTGAGGGAACTGGGATTGTTTAGTCTCCAGAAGAGAAGAATGAGGGGGGATTTGATAGCTGCTTTCAACTACCTGAAAGGGGGGTTCCAAAGAGGATGGATCTCAGCTGTTCTCAGTGGTGGTAGATGACAGAACAAGGAGCAATGGTCTCAAGTTGCAGTGGGGGAGGTCTAGGTTGGATATTGGGAAAAACTTTTTCACTAGGAGGGTGGTGAAGCACTGGAATGCATTACCTAGGGAGGTGGTGGAGTCTCCTTCTTTGGAGGTTTTTAAGGCCCGGCTTGACAAAGCCCTGGCTAGGATGATTTAGTTGGGAATTGGTCCTGCTTTGAGCAGGGGGTTGGACTAGATGACCTCCTGAGGTCCCTTCCAACCCTGATATTCTATGATTCTATGATTCTAAGGTCACACAAGCAGTCAGTGGCAGAGCCAGGAATAGAACCAAGATCTTCTGCATTCCCATCCTGTATTTTAACCCCAAGAACTTGCTTCCATCCTGGCTTCAGTTTCCCTCCTGTACTAGGTGCAACTCCCACCCTAGTACAATAAGGTGATGCAAAACACTGGATAATTGTTGCTCGTGAATTCAAAATCAATACACCCATACCATTCTGCCAACGGGTTGCTAAAACACGTTCTTTGAGGCCTGATTCAGCAAGGCACAGAAACAGTCCTTAAGCCCATCCCTATTCAGAAAATTACTTAAGCATGCACTTAAGTCTCAGGCCTTGTCTACACTACCAGGTTTTGTCGCCAAAACTGCCATTTGTCAACCCAAACAGTGAGTGCATACACACTGCAAGGCGACTTTTGTTGGGGAAAATGCCTGGTTTGGGTGACAAAATTCGTCCACCCTCACGAGAGATTTAAGTCTTTTTCCTCTACATTTTTGTCGACAAAGTGCAAGTGTAGACACCATGCTTCATTTCATCGCCTTAATTGACCTCCAGGAGGTTTCCCACAATGACCATCCTGACCCGCTCTGGTCAGCAGTTTGAACTCCACTGCCCTGCAGCCAGGTAAACAACCACCCGCCCCTCCCCCTTAGAAGCCCCAGGAATTTTTGAAATTCTATTTCCTGTTTGCTCGGCGTGGAGAGGTCTCATCGCATTTTCCCAGGTGACCATGGCAGCTTATTGCAGCAAACACTCTCCCGCTTGGACCACTGCAGAGCTGTTGGATCTGCTCAGTATATGGGGAGAGGAGGCTGTGCAGTCCCAGCTGCGCTTGAACCGTAGGAATTGGGATACCTATGGGCAGATTTCTTGAGGCTTGTGCGAAAACGGCTATAATTGGGACACTCTGCAAGTGCAGAGCGAAGATAAAGGAGCTGAGGCAAGTGTACCATAAGGCAAGGGAGGCAAACTGATGCTCAGGTGCTTCTCCTAAGACCTGCTGGTTCTATAAGGAGCTGGATGCTATCCTCGGTCGTGACCCCACCTCCATGGCCAAGAGCCCCATGAATACTTTGGAGGGCACAGAGGCGGCGGAAAGAGGACCTAACCCGGAGGACGAAGTTATTATTGAAGAGGTGGAGTTAGATGAGGATATGCAGCTCCCAGCAGAGTCGCCCGGTAGGGCGGGCAGGCAGCCAGGAACTATTCTCCACTCCAGATGTGTCTAGCCAGTCTCAGCAGTTGCTCTACGGCGAGCAAGAAGCAGGAGATGAGACTCCTGGTAAGTGGCTGTGGTTTGTGTAGTGTGGAGGTGGGTTCAAGCTATAGAAATGTGGGATGTTGGCTGTGTTTCTGTGTGCTGGACATTTCCCTGTGCAGCTAATCAGTACGGCGGAACAGGGTGTTGATGCACGCTGAGATCTCACGGGAATCCTCCAGAGAGATCTCCAGGAAAGTTTCCTGGAGGTACTCGGTAATCCTCTGCCCAAGTTTCCGTGGCAGAGTAGCTTTGTTCCTTCCCCCATTGTAGGAAACTTTCCCACGCCACTCATCAATCACTTGTGCAGAGACCAAAGCAGCACATAGGCGAGCAGCATTGGGAGCAGGGCGGAAGCCACAAGCATGGAGTAGATGTACCATCATTTCCCTGCTTACCCTTAGCAGTGAGATGTCTGCTAGAATTACACCCGCCTGTGGAAAAGTGTGGGAGAATTTTAGAATTTGTTCCCTAGAATGCTGCACCACAACCTTTGCAAACAGCATGTGCTCTTTTCCACATGTGGTGTAGCCCTCCCCCCCCAGCTCCCCTGCCAACACTCACCATGCTTTGGCTGTTTGAGGAGATGTGTGCCTGGCTAGGGTCAGTGAGAAAGTGATGGCAATGTTGCAAAAGGTGTGTTTAACAGAAATGTTTCAATGCTGTGCGTGAATTTAACAATCCCACTTCTGTGCATTGTCCCCTGTGCTTCATCAGATGTGGCCTTCAGGAACACCCCACGCACCCCGGCCAAGCATCTCCACCAGATAAGAAAGCGTCCAAGATGCAGCAAAGAAGACATGTTCCGGGAGGTCCTACAGTGCTGCAATACAGAAAAAAGGAACGAAAGGAGTGCTGGGAAGCCGAACGGTCGGACAGAAAAGAGAATCACGTGTTTGTTAAGGACGCTACTGAGCAGATGATTAAAGTAATGGAGGAGCAAACGCAGATGCTGAAGTCCTTAAAGTTCTGTAGACTGAGCAAATCAGTGCTCAACCTCCACTGCAGCACATTCAGAACTCTTTTCCATGCCTCCCCCCAAACTCCATTTGCACATTCCTTTCCACCTTCCAGGGCTTCTCGGTTTCCCCTTCACTCCACCTCCTCAGACAGCTTTCACAATGATAGCTGGACCTAAACACAGCTGTGAGAGTCTGCCTTTCCATGGCTCCTCCTTTCCCGCCAAGCATCTGTGTGTTTGTGTGTGCTGTTTCTTGTGCAATAAAAGCAAACTTTTATAATGGTAAATTATCTTTATTTTTTTTCTAAAAGGTGAGATTGCAGGCACTGCCAATACATGCACAGGCATTGTAATCACTTTATTACAGGAATATAAGGCCCCAAATGTCACCATTGCCTCCTACGAAAACTACATGTAATGTAACATTGAACATGTAAGGAAACATTGATTGCCCCCTCGTAAAACTACATGTAACGTAACATTGAAGCAGCTCGGACAGAGATATATGTTACTGGTGGTCATTGTCAAAATGCTGCCTCAAAGACTCCCTGATTCAAATAGCTCCCCTCTGGGCTCCTCTGACAGCCCTGGTATCTGGCTGCTCAAAATCAGCAGCCAAGCGGTCTGCCTCAGCACTCCACCCCTGAGCAAACCTTTCACCCTTAGCTTCACAGAGATTATGCAACATACAGCATGCAGCTATGACCATAGGAATATTATCCTCAGTGAGGACCAACCTGCCATAAAGGCATCGCCAGCGCACCTTTAATCTGCCAAAGGCACATTCCATTGTCATCCGGCACCTAGTGAGCCTGTTTTTGAACTGCTCCTTACTGCTGTCCAGGTGTCCCGTGTAAGGTTTCATGAGCCATGGCTGTAGGGGGTACGCAGGGTCCCCCAGGATCATTATGGGCATTTCAACACTCCCCATTGTAATCTTCTGGTTAGGAAAGAAAGTCCCCAGTTGC